TCCCCTCCCCTCCCCCCACACGCACCCCCCCCACACACACAACAGACAAACAAACAATCCCAGGTACCTACCTACTGTATCGCAGCTGCACTCTCACTGTCACAGCCGCATCTTCCACCTGTTTGGACTTGAGGTGCGTGTGTTCATAGGAGAAGGAACCGCTGGCAGCGAACTTAGAAAGAGACAGACTAGCCTGGACGTTCACAGTGTGCGAAGTCGTGGACGAAGTGTTGAGCCAAGTGTCGATCACCTCAGCGAAGGACTGCACAGTGCTAGACTGGAAGAATTACGAGGAGTTTGAGTTGTCTTTGATCAATTTTAGGCCCATTCTACATAAACAACGAACTGACAAGCAACAACAACAAAAGCAACAAAACCATTTTAAAACAAATATGCTCGGGTAACATATCAAAAAGAAGAAAAAACACACAACAAAACAAACAAACAAACAAACAAACAAACAAACAACCCAGCAACAACAAAAACGACAACAAACAACAACAAAAAGTATCACAAAAAACAAACAAACCAACAGCAGTAATAGCAACAACAGTGATAATAACAAAAAAAACCCAACGTGATGGACAATAACAACAGCAACAACAACAATAATGGCAACAATACAACAACAGCAGCAATAGCATCTATAACAATAACAAGAATACCATCATCAATAATAGCAATAACAACGACAGCAACGACAACAACAACAACAACAACAACAACAAGAATAACAACAACAAAGATCACAGCACACAGATCTCTCTCTACCTTGATGGGCACCGTGAAACACTGTCAGGGATCAGAAAGCGGCCATAGTCAGTGACCTTGCACTGAGTGAAGTTGTACGACACCACCACCACCACCACCACCACCACCACAACAACAGCAACAACAACAACAACAACAACAACAACGACAACGACGACGACAACAACAACAACAACAACAAAATACAACAACAACAACGACGACGACGACAAAAACAATAATAACAACAACAACAACAACAACAACAACAACATCAACAACAACGACAACGACGACGACAAAAAAAATAATAACAACAACAAAAACAACAACAAAAACGACAACGACAACGACAACAACAACAGCAACAACAATAATAATAACAACAACAACAACAAAGACCACAGCACACGTCCTTCCTCTACCTTGATGGGCACCGTGAACACACTATCAGGGATCAGAAAGCGGCCATAGTCAGTGACCTTGCACTGAGTGAAGTTGTACGACACCACCACCACTACCACAACAGCAATAGTCCATTGAGCAGCGAGGAACACGAAGATTTGGAGCACAGACTGCAGAGATGCCCCGCCACGGAGGTCCGGCAGTGGTATCTCTTCGGGAAGGATTCTGAGAGATTGGACTGCCTCACCCGTTACTCAAGGGAGGATGTGGCCCTGGCGAAGAGCACGCTCTTCGGGGCTCCAAACATTTTGAACGGATAGGCTACCACACACACACACACACAC